CTACTGTTTTCTTAAACTCATTTTTTAAGGCAAATGTGAGATACAAAAGTAGTTTTGAAAATTCTGCTCTTAAACATAGTATTTTGGAAGGTAATACTTTTCTTTGTATATATGCAAGCTGGGGAGCAGATTTGTCATGTATTCAGTATAGGTGCTACAGGGATATTTATGCTATCATAATATCGGAAAAAAGCATATAACTTGGTTTTGTTATTTACATTTTTCATGAATAAGCAGCTAATTTCATTTTTTCTGAAAACAGTAGCCTTCCATTTTGCTGACAAAAAAATGATAGGTATTACTTCACAGGCCTTTCCTCATAGCACTTCTTTTTCCTTTTCAGAATTATACTTTGAAAACAGCAAAATGCTGTGATTCTTTCTGAAACCAAATTAAATTGATTAGCTATTATGACTCATCAGAAAATGATTGTCAAAGCAGACAAGATTTAACATTGTGCTATTTTAGATTTGCATTTTTGCCAGGTGTTGTTTTTTATTAAGGTCTGTTATGAAAAATGAATGTCAAATACAGAGCATAAGGTGAATGGTTTTCAGCTGTGTATGAGAAACTCACTTAATATGTGGAGTACATAGAAGCAGTCATTTTTTATTAGAGTATTGATTTATTGAAAAAGCCTCCTCCATGTGCGAGACAGGATTCTGAAAGAGGGAGAAATTAAAGCCAAGGGGACAGATAGGCGTGAAGAGAAAAACATAAGGTGCTGCTTTATTTTCCTTACATGGTATGAATATTGTTCATCAGGGTAGGGGGGCAGCTCACGCTTAAACTTGATAAATATAAAAAGACACTTACAGCCTTTAGTGTTTATATTATTTTAGATGTAGAAAAGCTTCTTCAGCAACTGCTGTTGAAATAATGAAGGGTTTGTTTCAGGGGAATGGGAGAGGGCTATGCAGCTGGCTGAGTGAATGATATATAAAATAGGACAGATACGCCAAGAAAAATCTGTTCATATTACCTTGAAGAGAAAATATCTGATTTGGAAATATCTGATTTGAGTGATTAATCACAGCTGTGACTGTTTATTTCCAAAGTGGCCCACCTTTCTGAAGGCTTTGTAGAACATGTTTATTCTTATGTCAACTCCTCATACAGAAATACTGAGAGCTTCTTAATGAAACAATATTTCTTTTTTGTTTTTGTTAGCAATTAAATAGGAACAATACTCTTAGTTTGTTATGGACCATCGATATTACTTGCAAAACTGTGTAATGAGTTATGAGTCTGCTGCTTATATTTGGAATGCTAAATATAGCATTGGGATATACTTACCAAGCTTGTAGCTGCAGTACTGCTACTGTTCATGTCCTGCACTTTTTATCCAATACTAGAAAAACAGTTAAAAACAATATTATCAAAAACTACCCTACCCCAGCTTTCTTTTTAAGAGTAAAGCTGAGCTAGCAAAAAAACCCCAAACAACCCTAGGGAACGTGACTCTACTTCTGACCTTCCTAAAACAGCATTGTTTCTATTAAATGATGCCTGAGCCTTGCTTTAATGTTTAAAACACTGTGCTTATTAGCTATTAAATTTAATAAGTTCCCAAGGAAGAGAGGAGGTGTCTGAGCATGTAGCAGTAATGTGCTATTGTAGTAGTGTTACAAGAAGACAACCTCCTATGATGTGGAAATGGGGTGGAATGGGGTGGTGCAGAATTTCCCATCACATCGTCCTCTCCGTGTTGCTATGTTCAAGAAGTTAAAACCAACAGAATAAAAACCGGGCCAGATCAGACCACATAAGCCAAGTACCTAGCATTGGCAATTTAAATTTATAAAGCCAGGTTCTTTCTGGCTGAAATGGCTGTGATGATCTTGAAAATCTTGGATTCTAGTGCCCTTAGAATCCTTTTCTGAAGTATTTAGTCCTTCACTTTGGATATGGACCTTTTACAAGTTTTATCCTCATGAGGAAGATGCCTATATATGGCCTTTGATTAATGTCCCTTTCCTGTCATCCCCATGTCTGAGTGTCATTGTTTCCTGTTAATGGTAGGTTTAAAACTAAAGAAGAAGGTAAAGACAAATAGAAAAACAGAAATACAGAAAAATAGAAGGGCAGAGTTCAACAATATTTACTGCTAAAGGAGTTATGATATCAAATGGCACAGCCAGAGGATGAAATATGGGAAGCAGAAGGAAATAAAAATTAACCTTGCTATATGAATTTGAGACAGAGAAAGGTGAAATTATTTCCAGCAAAATTCTAGTTAAGAACAAACCATGATAATTGGCATAAAATACTGAAGTGACCCCCTTCTGTATGCATTAGTCAGGAAGGAAAACAAGTTCTATAATTCTCCCCTAAGTAGGAGAGAAATTAAAAGGCTCTCAGGAAGTCTGTGATGGGGAAAGTACTTCCAAGGTAAATTTAAAGTAAGCTTCCCAGTTTTGTGAAATGTATTTTCTGACCCCACCCCTCCTGGGCTTTTGTATCTTTTAAGTTTCCATGAATTTTAATAAGATGAGTGATTGTGGCCTTTTCCCATAAAATGCCTAGCAACTAGAGAATTCTGATCAATTCTCCTACCTTCACTCTTGTAGTCTGAGATTCTAATTTTGATAGGTCATGAAGTTTCCCTAAATATGTCAATCCAGTGGAATGTTTTGTATACACAATATGTCTTTGTTTTGGCATAGATGCCATCTGCCTGTTTGCCTAAAGAATACATACCAGACATGATTCTACATAGAATAAATACTATTTCTACTTTCTGACTCAATTATACATGACATAAATGCCTCAGACTAAGCATAATGCAAATATACCATGTAGATATAAGAAGAAAACGCTGACATCATATGAAAACATTGAGACTCAAATTATAAGCACTTGTGGCAGAGCTAAGCACCTCTAAGATTTAGAGCTTTCCTAAAGGAAGTTGGAAGATTCTTGGTATAGCTGAAGAGGTCTTAAAAAGTATAATCTTTTAAAATTTGCTTACTCTAGTAGAACTTGTGATCGTCTTGTCCATATTCCTATTCTTGGGAGTATCGGTCAGGGTGAGGAAGGAGAAAGTGTTACTGTCATTACAGGTTTTTAAAAAGTAGTGATGGGAAAGGTGGAGTGCACTCCCTTTGCATGTTACCTCCAAATTACATTGAGTTTTATCTTCAGCCTCAGTGAACATCAGTAGAGTTATAAACATGCAAATGAAAGCACATTTTGCTTTTTTATAGAAAATTCAGCCCTGGACCAAGTGGCTACTGCTTTAGTTGAAAGCAGTTGTGTTTTTCTAATTTTGTTTGGGTTTTCAGTGTAATTAAAGTGTATTATGCATAATACCTGCTTTTGTAGTATTTTTGTTGCTGAAAAGATTTTAAGTGATTACGTTGCTTTCACTACTAAAAATGATTTTTAGAAAGGAATTCAATTAATCTTGGTACTTACTGGCTTTAAGCACAATTTTAATTTTTTAGAATTATTTTAAACACTGCTCTTTCTGTTCCCTTATTGAGAGAAATAATCAGAAATCCAGTAAGTTAACTGTAAATTGAACCTTGCATTTCTCTGGGCATTGAGGAGCAACTTTCTGTTTGAGAAATTCATGCTTCATTTATATGGTTCCCCTTGATATTGAAAGAAGGAAGTTGGTACAGCACAGCGGATTTAGCTTGCATAGGAGAATGAGCTCTCAGGACTTCAGAGTTTTTTGATGTAGTATTGAGCCAAAAATCATTGTGAAAGGAAGCACAAGTGAGTTGGATGATTATCAAGTGAGTTGGACTTCATCAAGCTGTGTGAGGCATCAGACGTTTAATACTTTTGGATGCCTTTGGAAATACCAAACGTCAGACAGACCTTAGGTAACATTTAATGTCAAGGTAGATATAAGGCAGTCATCTTCAGATGAAATTATGTGTGAGATGCCTGCTCAGCATTTTTATTCATCCTGATATGCTAATTATGCTTAGATTATTCAGAGAAAAATCTGCAAACCTTATCACATTGCCTGTTCTTTCCACCTTCCCTACAGAGCTCCCTTTATAGCTAACCAAGACTTACTGCATGCATCTTAGAATGCAATGATTTGTGTATAGCAACTGCAAGTGAAGAAGAATAAATTCTAGTATAAACTCACTGTGTTAGGACAAGCAAGAATTATTTGCTTTGTAAAAACTGTCACTGCTTTTTTTCCTGGGAGCCAACTTATTTCCATGACCCTAAACTAAACAACATTAATGAAGTATGCTACAAAAGAGTTCTTGAGTTAGATACTTACTGCTTCTCTCCTCTTTTTGTGGTTACTTCATAAGATCTTGAGTGAAAACTTAGATCATAAAAGTTTTGCTAGGTTAATGGGTTTACGGGCCTGGGTTTGTTGGTTGTTTTTTTTTGTTTGTTTGTTTGATTTTGTTTTGGTTTTTTTAAAGTACTTCTATTGAATTAAATAATCCTCTTAAACCAACTGAGTTGATATTACCTTATACAGACTTGCAGTTAAGGGAGCATTTTTAGAATACTAAATGTGATTTGAATTGCCTGTGACTTGCCTTTTTTTTGTTGTTACTGGGCTGCTGCTGGAATATCAGATCCTGTGCAAACCTCTTTGAACATGACGAAGAGGTTTGATATATTAGCCGTTGCAAAAGTTTTGACTACTGTTTATAGCAAGGC